CTGGAACTGGAGTTAAAGATGGTTCGTAGCCACCATGTGGGTGCTGGGAATTGAACCTGGGTCCTCTGCAAGAGCAGTCAGTGCGCTTAACCACTGAGCAATCTCTCCAGCCCCATGTTTTGTGGTTTTAAGTGTTTTTTTTTTTTTCGTCTTTTTGAGACAGGGTCTCCCTGTAGCCCCAGCTGTCCTGAAACTCACTATGTAGACCAGGCTGGCCTTGAACTCAGAGATCCGCCTGCCTCTGCCTCCCAAATGCTGGGATTAAAGGTGTGGGCCACCATGCCTGGCTAATAGTGTTTTTTTGAAGTTGCTGGATCTTGTTTGATTACTCTTGTTTTAACTATTATGTATACAATTGCTAGTTTACTGATGATAGTAGGACCAAATGTTCTTAGAAATTTCTCTTGAAGTTGGATAGAGGGAATCAGGTCAAAAGTCAGCCAAGGGTTGGAGAGATGGTCAGGGGTTAGGAACACTTGCTGTGCTTCTAGAGGATCTGGGTTTGAGTCCCCGCATCTACGCGGTGGCTAACAACCATCTGTAACTCCAGTTCCAGGGGCTCCAGCATCCTTTTTTGGCCTCTGTGGGCACTGCATGCACTTTCACACATGCAGACAAAACATTCATACACATAGAATAAAAATAGTAAATAAAATATTTTTAAAAATCAGCCAAAAGCTAGGCCTGTAATCCTAGCATCTGGGAGGCTAAGGCAGGAGGATTGCTGTGAGATTTAGCCCAGCCTGGGTTACATGTGCGTATGAGGCAGCCAGGGCTATAGACTACCTCAAAAAGTAAAAAACCAGCTCCAGGGAAGCTCCCTCTGACCCCACAGAGCCACTCAGCTGGCCATAGCATTTGAGCTGTAGGAGCTGTAGAGAAGAGGATTTCACAACTCATCAGCTTCTCAGAGTAAAAGCGGCTCTCTATCTGAGCAGCCTGGCTTCTTTCTGACTCACATGTAGAACAGCCACCTTCCTGCTATGTGATGCCTGTGACAATTTGCTTCATTCTCACACAAGATGTCAGCTCTGATTTTTTTCCAGTTATTTTAGAATTTTAGGTTTTGAGCCTAAAACTTTAAAAAACATCAACTTGTCACTTTCTGAAACCTAACACAAAGGCTCTTGGGTATTTTTTAGCAAAAAGTCCTTTTTTGCCTTTCACCAAATTCTAGATAATTCTAGGCAATGTTAACCAACAGTGTGTCTTAGAGAGAATGTAGGTTGATGATCCTCACACATTTCTCACTAGGTTAAGAACACTAACAATCTTCCTGCATTTTACTTGCTACCAAAGCAGACTATTACAGTCGCGTCCCCAAAAGAGAAACAGAAGAAAGAGAGGCCGTCAAGCTCTACTTTTTAGAGCCTGATTTTGGAGAGAAGAAATGATGTATCTGAATTTTTTTTTCCTGTTCATCTGTATTTTTAATTATTTTTTAAAAAAAGAAAAATGGAAGTGTAATCTTCATCCAATAAATCTCATTTGATCCTTATGCAATTCTTTTTTCAGGTGGTGGTATGCATTATTTTAGAATAATTGGAAAGTATCAACCAAATAACTGGTTTTCATACAGTTTCAATTACAGCAGCAATTTCCTTGAACTGTCTGTAGAAATTCTGAAACTGTGGAATTGTCATTTCAAAAGACTTTGTCTTCACTTGGCCAAAATGATCTGCCACTGTTAGCTTCACTGCCACATAAGGATACTTAAGAGATCTGCAGCTGTCTGAGCTCACAGCCATGCCCAGTTTCCACTGAAAATCTATAAGCTGGTTGGTGACCTCGGATTTAGCGTCCAGCTCGGGCTCACTGGATGGAGACACCTCCATGGCCAAAACCTAGGCCTGGCGCTTGTATCTGAATTTTTTTATTCCTTCCAATTGAAAATTAGATAAGTGGATACACAGTTCTAGAGTGACACAAAGAAAAAAGAAAGAAAAAGAAGGCTGAGCCCATAAAGGAAAGAACAAGGCAGGGTGAGCCTGGAAATAGTGACTAGGAGCAAGTTTAGCAAATGTCCTGTAGATGTCATAAGAGGTCAGGGGCAACAGCCCCAGATAAATGTGACATTGTTCTCCATCTCTCTCTTGGCCACTAGTTCTGTAGATTGTACCTGTGTCACATCTGTGCCTTCCTCTATAGGGCAGAAGGCTCTGAAGTCTCAAGCCCTGCCCAACTCCTCACATCCCTCACTTTACCTTTTTCCCTGAACCTTAGGCTGAGGCAACTCAACAGTTTCTCAGACAGTCAAGGCCCTTCTCTCTGACCTTTGATCAGGCTATTCTCTTTGCCTTCTCCTCCTCAGCTTCACAAACTCCTGCTCATGAAGGCCCAGCTTGCCAGTACCCTCTCACAAAGTCATTCCTATCTCCATTCAAAATTCACCATTGTCCTCTGAACAGAAATCAAGGTTCCTATAAAAACACAGCCCCCTCCTTCCATCCTATTAGATTAGCCTTTAAGTTCCCCGAGGGCAGAATGATGCTTCATCCATAGCAGAACCCAAAGCACTTTCTATACGGAAACTGAGGTAAACCATGAATGGTACTCTCCTTACCTGCTTCACAGGTTACCTGTTTCCTTGTACTTATGTGCAGCAATGCCTAACTATAGAATTTTGGTGAGCCCTATGTCCCAAAACTCAAAGATCATTGCTGGGACAACTTTAGAAGTAGATCATGTCTGTGAGTGTCTGTAGTTGGTTCTTTTCATCCCCAGGTTTGCCTACCTACTGAATTATTAGCCTCACCTGACTTGGGTTAGACCACCTAAGAGGATACAGGCTAAGTTCCTACCAATGCCTCTATAACGGGGGCCCTCCAAAGGGCCATCAATCAAATATATCACACAACTCAAAAGCATAGGAGGCACAAGACAGAAGTCCTTCAAGGCATGGTGTGCACCTTTAAGTTCCCTGTGATGCCAACCATGATGTCTTTCTCCTAAAGACTCCTTAATTGTTAAATACAAATTTGAAGAAGAAGAAGGGAAAAAAAAAGAGTCAAGAAGAAGGCTTAACCAGGTAAAAATTCTGGCTGTGCAAACCCAGTGACCTGAGTTCAATTCTTAGAACCCATGTAAAAAGCTTGACATGGTGGCATCTGTAATCTAAGCACTCCTATAGTGAGATAGCAGGTGGAAATAGGAGAATTGCCTGGACGCTTACAGGCCAGCTAGCCCGGAGTAGGCAGTAAGGCAGCAGAAACATGAGAGACCCTGCCTCAACAAAGTGGAAGGTAAGAACCAACTCCTACAAGTCATCTTACACACACAATAATTACTAATGCTTGTATTTTACCCTTGGGAATTCTGAATTTACCTTTTTTAAAAAAGGAAAACAGGGTCCAGTGTGGTGGCACACACCTTTAATCTAATTAAAGAAAGACTGTTAAATTAAAAAACGACAAGCCGTTCTGATAATTGATATTTTCCTTTTAAATTAATGAACCTTTGCCTAAACTCCTTTAAGATACCATTATTCTCTGCTTTACTGAATGGGAGATACAAAATATAATTTAACATTTTCCCAAGGACTCAGATGTACCATATGAAGGTCAATATGAATGGATACAGGTGGCATATTATTCACGTCCAAGGTCTTCTTTCTGGAACAACTCTTTGCAGATATTTAGTACTTTACTACTTCTTTTCCCTAAAGGTGATTACCCAGAATGGGGAGTGGCATAGCCCACTGATGCTTTTCTGCAAACACACACAGTGACCCCAGAGTTGAGCTAGCATTCTCCTAAGAGCTTTCTCGTCTATTCTCACTAACATCAGCAGTGCTGACCTCTGGTGAAGCTTCCAAGCATCCTGACTTCAGAATCAAAAGCATTTTATTTTATTTTATTTATTATTACAATTATTTTTATGTGTATGAGTGTTTTGCCTGCTTGCATATAAGTGAACATGCATGCAATGCTCATGGAGACCAGAACAGGGTGCTGGATCCCCTGGAACTGGAGTTAAGAACAGTTGTTAACTGCCATGTGGGTGATGGGAACCAAACTTAGGTCCTCTGCAGGAGCAGCTGGTGCTCTTAACCACTGAATCATCTCTCCAGGCTCTCAAAAGCATTTAAAAAATTATGTTTTTTTTAATTTATATGTATGTGTGTGTGTGTGTGTGTGTCTGTGTTTGTACAGGCCAGGTGTGTGTAGGTGCTTTCAGAGGCCAGAAAAGGGTGTTGGATTCCCTTGAGCTGGATTTACAGGTTGTTGTGAGCTGCCTGAAGTGGGTGCTGTGAACTGGACTCAGGTTTTCTAGAAGAGCAGCAAGTGCTCTTAACCACTGAGCCATCTCTCTAGCCCTCAAAAGCATTTTAAACTTCTAGTTAACTTTAAGCAATCTAAAATTTCCTGTACCCAGTTCTTGTTTGCACCAGATAGCATGCAATATTGAGTTTGAGGTTTTTATGTTTTGTTCCTAAGACATTCATCATCTACTGGGAAATCAGACACACAAAACAGAGAACTGGAGTTATGCTGATAGATGAGGTTTAGTCCTGACTCAATGTCACAGTGAACCTTCAGGATTGTCAGTGATAGAAATTATGGTAACTAAGTTGCAGTCTGGGAGCTATAGGCAAGCTATGGTCTTCTGGGCGTCCTATTAAGGATGGTGGATAAAAAAGAATTAACATGCTTTGTGTGCTTAGCTAGAAATACAATTTATGACTACAAACAGCAAAATGATAGTGAGCCATTCACTCCAGCTCAAAGTCTGTTCAGCCACTGAAGCTCTAGATGCAGGATTTTTCTCAGAACATGGAAACACTGGGAAGAACCTGTCTGACCCTCTGGCCACAATAAGGCACGTTTTCTTGTTGAGCATAAGTTTAAGGAATGCTATTTTAAGCAAAGAAAACTGCAATTAGATCAAAGCATGCCAGACAGCTGCTCCAATACTTTATCAGTCCTAGGATACTTTGATCAAATAAATAATGGAGCACACAGTGCTGGGTATGGGCAGAAACACTGCATCTATCATCTCTGTCTCCTACTGGCTTATGCAACGCAGGCTTAGTAAATATTTTAAGCATATGCCATATCCATGTATATTCTCACAAAGTCTGTGTCCTCAGGTTCGGTCCTATTGTTATTTGTCTCAGAACTGCCTGGAAACTCCCTGTAATCAGATGCCCAGGACCCATCAGTCCTATCAGTTTGGCATCTGCCATGGGTAGGAGCCAGGCATATGCTATTTTAATGTGCAACCTTGGTGATTCAAGATATACTTGATTTTTTTCTAATTGTCAAAAGGAAAAGGCAGTCTTGCTACAGTGAAATTTGGTACTGGCATCTCACTAAAGTGATCTTTGGAATTCGTTTACTCTAATAACGTGGACCTTTTATGTAACTCTTCTCTTCATTACTCTTTAATGGCATTCAAGCTGAGTCAGGCTCAGACAATACTGTTTTATTTTCAGCAAAGCAATGAGGCACAAAATGGTTTCCTAAGGAACAACATTGATGGTTTGGGGCATTAGCTGTGTGGGAAGACTTGACATCGGTCATTTATAGCCACAAGGAAATGAAAAGTCCTATTGCCACAAGACCTGTAATGCTTTTTTTTTCTTTTTTTCTTTTTTTTAGTAGCATTTTACATGATGGAAGAATAGGACAGGTTACAGAGATGGGAAAATTCAGTTAGGCAAACAAATGTTTACCAAGCATCTGCCACATAAATCCAGGCCCTGGGCCAGCTTCAGAAGAGATAAGAGTCAAGGTCTCTCCTCTGTTCAGGTAAAATGGCAAGAGCATCGGCAGGGATTTTTGTGCTGTGGAGAACCAGTGGTTCATCTGCCCAAGGGGGTCACACAAGCTGCTGGGAAGAGATGGGTCCCTGCTGGACCCTGAGGCTGGGGAGGAGTTAGCTGCACACAGCAAAGGGAGGAAGGTAAGGGCCTCAGAGGGAGGTGTGTCCAGGAGAAGACCCTGAAGGCCTATGGCTGGAGCTGTACATGAGGGGTGCATTCAGAGGAGTGGGGGGCTTCAAGGATGGGCAGGACTGGTTTGTGGGGGTCTGAAGCCTTCTACAATAGACTCCAATCTTCACTTTCTATATTTCATATTGTTGGTATCAAGCTGAAGTGACTTCTGACTTTTTATAATAACACGCTTGATGGAAATCCAAAGCATATATATGAATATATACCCTCACTTCAGAAGCAGGCACAATTTATTCAAAAGCATAACTCACACTATGAGATATAAAATGTTTGGTAGTTTATCTTATCTTACCCACAAATGTGTTTTTGTGCAGAGAGAACCCCTGGGCCATCTCAGCAAGAGCTCCTAACTAAATTTTCAGCCCTTTACTGGTCTGAGCTGCATTTAACTCACTTTCTACTCTGTTATTCATAAAAACTTGATTTAAAACAAGGAGCTCACGTTTTCTATGGAAACAGGATATGCTGACCTAAGTTTTCTGGATGCCTCTTATAGAGTAAGCACTTAATTAAGCACTCTCTTAGAATGAGCTTTCTACATATGAACAACAAAGTATTTTTCCTAAAAAATAAGGCATTTTAACACACAGCTGAAGACAGTACCCTTGTTTGGTCTTTTCTGGGAGGATTCTAGTGATTCCTGTGCACACAGCACTGCCACCACACTTCCCAATAAATGTAAAAATGAGAAAACTCCAGGAAGAAAGTCAGAATGAAAACAGTCATTTTCCAATATCTGTACCTTCAGTCAGGGCGCCATCCACCTACAGAGCTTGGAGAGACCACTAAAACCACCTTAAACTTTCTAGGAAGCCATTTAACAGAGCAGAAAATCAAAGCCCAGTGGAACTGAGAAAACATAAAACAACAGAGTCACTTAAAAAGGCTAGCCATGG